TTCAGGGGCCAAAATTAACATTAATCAAGTGCCAAATGTAAGCTGCCCACCACTTAAGTGATGTGAATGATTCAAATCGATGACATGCAAACTATCTACTTAAAGGGGTGGTCTAATGCTTTTTCACGCATTCTGAGTTATTTACACTGTTAAAGAGTTGGATTCTTATGCTAAACATGGCCAAAGTTTAAAAAAATGATTTGGATGTTTGACAGAGTATTTCTGTGCCAAATACACTCCTTCAGGGTTTGTAAAAGTTTTTTTTCGAGTATGGCATTCGAATATGGAATTCCTTGTATGGGCACTTCTCCTGGAAGGGCGCGCGCACACATCAACCAGAGCGAGAGCAAGAGCACTCCCATCAACATTCTTCATTCCTGTTATGGAAGTCGTCGGCAGCGCTGCACAGGACTTGCTCGAAAACTATTTGTCATTTTGTTTTTAGACCACAAATTCAGCAATGTCACCACAGAAGTGTGTTTTTGGTTGTGAAGGAAAGATAACCTTGTTCAGCTTCCCAAAGAACCCAGCATTATGGGAACAGTGGACGCAGTTCCCATAATGCTTTGCGTGCTCCTGACTCTTTAGCTCCGCCCACAGCATGCCTCCAGGTGCTCGGCTGTTTTCGGAGAGAATCATAAAGCTGTATCTGTCTTTTATAAATCTGATCATAAAACTAAAGACTCTTTGGAGATATGAAGGATGCAATACTATCCTATAGGTACTCAAGATTAACATGAGATTGGCAGAAACTGTGTGTGTTATGTCCCCTTTAAGAAAATTTGTGTTTTTGTTCTCTCAGGTCCGTTTTAACCCAAACATGGATGCATACAACTGGATCCTGTCAGGCGGGCAGTCGGGTTTGGTGCATGTGAATTGTGCACGTGGACTGAGCTGCTCCGTGATGCTCAAGCAGTTGCGTGAAGCTCAAGCCCAGTTTAGCGCCATGTTCCAGTCTCAGGAGCCCGATGACTCTGCAACAGCTGTCCGTCACAGCACAGCGGATACCGTACAAGTGCACTAGTCTCCACCCCCACACCCTCTCAGCTCTATCCTGAAATTGTCTGTGCTGTCATAATAGGCTGGGAGACTTTTATGTTTAGAAGACTGATGACACACTTTTTATACTTAACTTATATTGAAAGAAGGAAAACTATTTTGATAAGCCTCTGCATATTCCTGTTTTTATATTTTTGTGCATTTTGTTTTTAGTACTGTACAGAGAGGAAAACCTTTTGAACTTCTTTTCACCATTGTGAAACTCAGACAGAAAGTCTGTTTGTGTTGTTTTTAAGTTTAGTATCTCGACACGTTCTTCTTTCCAAAGTATGTGTGGAGAATGAAATCCTCAGCACTTATATACCTGTGCCATTTACAGGGAGCATTATTCTCTGTTTCCTCCTGTTCCAGTTCAGTGCTATATTATGATCAAACATATCCATCTTGACATTTAGTGAGAAAACATTGGATTGAATCTTTGATATTTACTAGCCTGTTCTCTTAGCTATCATATCAAGATGTTTTTTTCCCCTTTAGCTCTAGCTTTCTTACCCTGAATCTTCATTTTAAAGGAATAGTAACACAAAAATTAAACATCATCATGATGTCGTTCCAAACCTTTATGACTTTATATCTTTTGTGGAACACGAAAACAGAAATGTTTTTCCATTCTATAAAAATGTAAAATCTTGCCCTTCACTGTCCTCATCTACATATATTCAATCAAATGTCAGGCCTTTAGATACAATATGTTAATTCTGATGTCATTGCAAGTTGACCAATCATTAAACGATTACATGTCCAATCACAGTGCAGCCTTGCGAATAAGGTGAGAAGATTATAATGAACCTAAATTTGGCTAAAGTACTGTAGTGAATTAAGTAAGTTCTGTGGAATTTCTTGTTTTGTTTTGTTATTTTCTGAAATTTTGGTCATTTTGATGCTTTGGAGCCCAAATCCCTATTCACTTTCTTTAGATGGAAAAGAGTGGCCATTACATGTGTGAAAATGTCACCTTTTGTGCTCCACAGAAGGAATAAAGTCAAACAGGTATGGAAAAACATGAGGGTAAGTAGTCAAAATGTTCATTTTTGGCCGAACCCTTCCTTTAATTCTGCATTTTGAGCTTTCTTGTCCATTATTGTTATTCCTACCCATTTCAAGTCTTTATTACCTCTTTTCTGTCTTGTACATTCTTCTTACTCAGGTCTAGCCAGAGTTGTACGGGCATCATGGACTCCGCTGATAATTGCCTGCATGTGAGTTCATGTTGTCCCTGAACCAATAGCACTCTGACGTTAAAGGGTTAGTTCACCCAAAAATTACAATTCTGTCATTAATTACTCACCCTCGTGGTGTTCGAAACCCGTAAGACCTTCGTTCATCTTCGGAACACA